TGCTCAGCTGTGTGTAATTACTGATAACAGTATAGAAATTTCAAAAATCCAAAAAACAATTGTATCATACCGTAGGAAATTTACTGATGATAGCATTGCTCAGTTTTGTAAACTATTAGAAAGTGAAAACTGGATTAATGTGTTTAATGCACCTGTTAATAATAAGTTTGACATTTTCTTTGATATAATTAAGTATGATTTTGATGTTTGTTTTCCTAAGGTTAAAAGTAGATTAACCAGAGGAAATAGTAATTGGATTACAGATGATAAAAGAATAGATGTTTTAGATTTGAGTAATACTGCTAGGAATGTTAAAGATAAATCATTTCAAAATATTCTGATAAATAAAAGAAAGAACTAAAAAAATAAGTCATTGAAACTAAATGTAATTATTATCATAGCTTATTGGAAAAATCACGAAATGTTAGTAAAACTACATGGGATATTGTAAATAGGGAAGTTGGAGCAAATCATAAATCAAGCCATGGTGAAAGTTTAAGTTTACCATATATTAAAGCCAATAACTGCACGGACGTTGAAGAAGTCTGTCATCTCTTTAATGATTACTATACAATGATGGTTGAAAATGAAATATTGCCCAAACTAATATCTTCTACTGGTTCGAAAAATATTATTTCACCCTCCCAAAAATTGATATCAAAATTCAGTCTTTCACCAATTACTTATGAAGAGCTGGATAACATTATAACTTCTTTTGATAATAAATTTTCCACTGGCTGGGATGAAATACCAATGCCAATAATTAAACAGGCTTGTCTATATATATTATTACCATTACTACATGTTATAAACTCTTCTTTTTTCTCTGGAATTTTCCCCGAAAAATTAAAAAAATCAAAAATTAAACCTTGTTATAAAAATGGTAACCCAGAAGAAGTGTGTAATTACAGACCTATCTCATTGTTATGCTCATTTTCAAAATTTTTGAGCGAGTTGTGCATATAAAACTTTCAAAATACTTAGAGGAAAATAATTTATTAGATAAGGAACAATATGGTTTTAGAGAAGGAAAGTCCGTGATTGACGCAGGAGTCGATTTCTGTGAATCTATAATTAATTCAATTGATTCAAAGGAAAAAGTAGCGGGAATATCCTTGACTTAACAAAAGCCTTTGATAGTGTCTCACATGATTTACTTCTTGAAAAACTTAAATATAACGGTGTAAAAGGGAGAGCTGGTTTGAATCTTATCTTACAGGCAGGCCTTATCTTACAGTATGTCACAATTGATCACATAAATAGCCATAATCAATTAATTACTTACACTTCCTCAACCAAAATTGTTAAGTATGGTGTCCCTCAAGGATAAATGTTGGGGCCCTTATTATTCTTAATTTACTTAACTGACTTCCCCTCATTGATAGAATCTCCCAATCGTGTTTGTTTATTTGCTGATGACATCAATATAAAAATATCCGGAAATTCAAATGCTGATGTGGAAGTCTCTTCTATTGTTGAGCTTACCAAATGTAACCAATATTTAAATCAGTGGCGGATCCAGAGGGGGGCGACCGCCCCCCCCCCCCTCGGGCATACATATACATATATTTTTTACTGCATGTAATACAGTAGTGCATACAAATTGCGTAAAATAATTTGTCACACTAACTTTGGACAAAGAAATGGTAAAAAACTGTGATTTAGGAGACTTAGTTTACACACATTTTTCGGAGGGGTACCCCCGAACCGCCCCTGACTCCCTGGTTCGCCCCCCCCTTGTGACTGCTCTAGATCCGCCACTGATTTAAATGAAATCAATTTATTACCGAATACAATAAAAACTAATTATATAAATTTTTCTTCAACGAGCAAAAATTCACCTGAGTTTAATATTTTTATGGACACAATTTTACTAAATGAAGTTAAAACAATAACATGTCTTGGATTGCATATAGATGATAAATTCAACTGGGACAGTCATGTTGAAAACGTTTGTAATAAAGTCAACTCAGGCATACATGCATTAAGACAGATGTCAAAATTTAGTAGTTTAAAAACCTTAAAAATAGTATATCATTCCTTAATTAAATCACATATTTCTTTTGGGTTGTGTCTTTATGGGGGCACATCAAATTTTAACCTAAATAGCATTCTGGAACTTAAAAAAAAAGCAATTTGCATTATGTTAAAACTAAAGTCAAAAACATCCGCAAAAGAGCGGTTTAAAGAAATATGAATTATGACTGTTTTTAGCTTATACATTTATCAAATAGCCCTTTATATTAAATCAAACCATGAAAGATTGCCAAAATTGAACTCTTTTCATACATATTCAACCAGAAAAGGTAATGAATTGGCGTTCAACAGACATAATTTATCGGTTTATGAAAAAATGCCATCTTATAGTGGTGTTAAATATTTCAATAGCTTACCTGACAATATACAAAATATAAGTAATTTTAATTCATTTAAAAAACTTTTGAAATTATTTCTCACCAACAGACCCTTGTATAAATTAGAAGATTTTTTCCAAATTCCTGAAATTTGATTTTTATAATAACAATATTCTTTGTAAGTAGTCTTAAGTTTAATATTGTGTTTTTATAACTGACTCCATTCTGTACAAAATGTGCAATATGAATAAAGTTATTTTGATTGATTGATTGATATAATGATATACCCAAGGTGTTGTACATTTTTATAAAGGTAAATGAATACACTACAACATGTTTATATTGGTTTGGGTGTAACAAATTTGGTAAAAAAGTTATATACTAAATACTGTACACTCCATTTTCTCAAAATGCGCAAAAAATTCAAAATGTTCTCAAATTGATACATAATCATAGGTGAAAATAACTTTTTACCATCATACTTATGACTTTTTTGGATTCCTTACTTCATTAGCTTTACAAATATGTACATATCATCAGCCTACATAATGTTTCACAACACAAACAAACACTGTATAGTTTACACTTATTTGCGGTTTTGCGGTTATTGTATTATTATGTCCCTATTACGTACCTACAAAAAAATATTTCTAACATGTTATACATTTTTATGTAGGTAATTGAATACATTACAAGATTATTATGTTGGTTTGAAGTAAAAAAATTTGGTACAAAAGTTGTATACTAAATACTGTGAATTTTTTTTCTCGCGAAATCGCTAAAATATAAAAACATTATTTTATATACATTATGTTTATAGGTAAAAAATTAATTTTACCATAAACTTTATGACTTTTTTGGATTCCTTTCTTCATTAGCTTTACAAACATGTATATATCATTATTAGTATACACATATATTATATAACTTTTTACACCATAAACTAACACTGTACAGTTTTCAATTTTTTCGGTTCTCCGTTTGTCATTATATTTCGCCCCAAAAACTTAAAAAAAATGTTCTTAACATGTTATAAATTTCTATGTAGGGAATTAGATTGTCTACAAAATGTATATAATGAATTTTCCATAAAAAATCCGTAGAAAAAAAATACCGAGGCCGCTTTTGAAATTTAAAAAAAAAATCAAATTTTTTTTTATTTTTTCCACTTTACCGATAAAATACACTGTCTAAATCATTATGATATTACTATCTCTAGATTCTCCTGTTCTTTCCGAACAAAATGAATATGAGGTTTGGCTAGGTTTACTTATACGGTTGAATTTTTACGAATTTTCAAAAAAAGGTCTGCAAAATCGCCAAAATGGGTTGGCCATTCCCCACTTCTAACATTGGCCACTGCTAGGGTTAATTCCATTTAAATATGAGTACTCATAAGGTTAACATGGGAAACTCCAGAGCCACTGGGGCAGAGCCCTTTGGGCGGATCTGCACCAAACTTCACACAAACCATCCTTTAATAATGCTTAACAATGCCTGAAAGTTTCATTACAATCTGCCGAGCGGTTTTGGAGTCCATAACGTTTCAATATATACAAACTTCCTCTTTTATAATTATAGATGCTGGTGGTGCACTCTTATGTTTACCTCAGAACAATCTTTGTTTTTATGCAGACGATACGAATCTCAAAGTATCGGCTGAGTCAGTGCAACAAGTTGCAATTTTAAATTGGCAAACATTGAAAACTTTCTAGAGCAAAATAAATTAAAGCTTAATCCTAAAAAAACCTATTTTTTAAACTTTTAAAACAAATCAAAATAAAAAGCTAATGAAACCAAATAAATACCATGTATAATGCAGAAGAAATTGAACATAAAAACAGTTTCTAGGTCTAACTGTGGACTAAAATTTAAACTGGGATGAACATGTTGATAAACTCCTTTCAAAATTATGTTCAGGACTATATTCACTCTCTAGAATGTCTTATTTTTGTAACCATAAAACATTAAAAAACATATATTATGCTAATGTCCATTCGCATTTATCATATGGTTTGTGCCTTTATGGTTTAACTACAATAGCAAATTTGGATAGGATACTTAAACTTCAATAAATAGCAATCAGAATAATTTTGAAATTAGAACGCAACAAAACAACCAAAAACAAATTCAAAGAACTGAAAATTTTAACAGTATATGGCCAATTTATTTACGACACAATTATTCTAACAAAAAACCGCTTGAGCACCTCTGAGACAAAAATTATCACCCATACAACACTCGGCATAAAGAATTCCTTGTTTCAAGTAAACATAAATTAAAATTCTATGAAAAAAACCATCCTATATAGGATTAAAATTTTTTAAGCATCTTCCTAGTGAAATCAGAAATGAGCAAAGCAGGAAGAATTTCATGAGAAAACTAAAACGTTATTTAGTGGAGAAAGCGTTTTATCCCCTGGAAGAGTATTTTTCCACCTCCCCTCTTAGCGTTAGTTGATATTTGATTTAGTTTTGATTATTTTCATTTACTGGTTCTTGGTTTTTAATGTAAATAATGGTCTAAGATATACAAATTTGTAAATTATTAATTTAAGATAGATTTAGTTGATGCCATTCATTGTACAAAACTGTACTTCATGAATAAAGCATATTTGATTTGATTTGATTCTATCTTCTGTTTCAGAATGGTACTGGCGGTGTGTGGTACAAGGATACTTGCTGAAAACCGCAGCTGTCTTGTCTGTGATTCTGTCTGCGACTGTTGTTTGGTCAGAAGTGACTTTCTTCAACAAGAAACCAGTTCTTTCAATCTTTGCAAACTTTCTCAACATAGCACGATCCAGCTACGACTATCTGACAATTGAGGTAAAAAAGTAGTCAGTATTATTTATGACTGGTGATAAAGTGTTTACAATGTTATATCACAAAGACATTACACAAAATTTCAAATCAATAAACTTTTAAATAAACCACAGCCTAGGGTATGGAACTGCTTAAAGTTTTATGTTAAAACTAGGGATGGTTCGATTGTTAAAATCGTTTCTCGGTTTTATCAAATTTTAGTAAAAAAATAGAAACGAAGAATTGACATAAAATGTCGGTTCCCGTTTATCGGTTGTTGTGCAATAATTTTGGTGGAGTCAGGTAGCACACAAAAGGTTTATCAGATGGTTGTTGACGACTTTCATAATATATTACTAGGATAAAGATGCAATAGTTGGGAAAGTTAGTCAAAATTTCTAACTAGTTAGAAGTTAGAAGTTAGTCCCATAAAAAGTAACTGATAGAAGTTACTAGTTAGTTAGTTTAAAAAGTAACTGATAGAAGTTATTAGTTAATTGAAAAACTAACTGATAGAAAATAAAGTTAGTTTTCGACATTTGTAGAAGATAGCTGTTTGTTGGACGGTTGTTATAAAGGATTTCATATGTAATGAAATAATGACAGATCTTGGTTACTAATTATTGTGTTTTAATTAAATATTAATTAAACATAGTCACATTTACATTACATGTAATGTAAAAACATTCATTACTACAACAAAATTTACTTTAAATGCCTATTAAACTTTAAAAGAAGTTGTTTTTCAAAATTGGTGTCGCTGATTCTTCCTCGTCTGTTACTCTGTTAGCGATGACTAGGCTTGCTGCTCTGAACAGGCGTTTGCAGTGAACAAAGGTGTTTTTTAATTTGTATTTGTAGATTTATATTTGTAGTTATCTTATTATAATGTATTTGTTTCATGACTAGTGAATATTTTGTTAGTAAATTTATGTAAATTTGTAACTAAATAATGATTTACACATTAGTTTGCCGTGAGTGAATACTGAAGCAATGTCAGTGTGGTAGTCAGGTACACATCGGCAACGTCGCAGATTCGCACGTGCTCCCGCCCGGCTGGGAAATATGGTACAAACAACAGGCGGCCCGCTACCAGTCACGGGAGAAATTTTTGTCTACAAATATAAATCTGTTTAAAAACCACCTTTGTTCGCATTATAAAATCTGCCATATTGGTGTTATTTCTTGTGTCGTGGCAAACACGATGGTATTTTGAACGAAATTTTCAGTGTCTTATTAACGATGTTAGCATACGTTTTAAAAATTAACAGCAGCATAAAAACTATTGTGAATAAAATTTTTAAAATGCATGGAAATGTTAAAAATGAACCTACCAATAAGCCATAAAAATTTGAGAAAGATTGGCTCAGTGTTTTGTTTACAAATAAATTTTAAACTTCAGTGTTAGTGCAGAGTTTCTTAAAAACCGGTACTTTTTAGGATCTTTCAACTGTATAAATTTTTCTGGTAAACGGACATTTTTTTAATCGACACCACGTAAAATGTATTTAAACCAGCTTATATTTAATTTTTGTTTCAACAAAATCGGATAATTCATTTCAGATATATTTAGGCTCACACTCGATAAAAATATATAATTCTGAGCAATGAGCAGACGAAACTCTAATTTTATTTATATAGATGAATTTGAATATAGCATTAGAATTTTGAATGAAATTCTTTATAAATTTTCTCCGTAACCAATAACCGTACAAAAACACTTTGATATACTAAATTAATTGTTTTTTAAACTCTTTAAAAGGGTTTGGAGAAAAGTTTATCAATTTTGTGTTTTAAGGATGAAAGATGAGAAAAGCCCATTTTTAACCCATAAATCTGCCCGTTAAACCCTGTTCCTATGGTCCGATCATGCTGGTTATATCACGAACTCTGCTGGTTAAATATCGAACTCATTCAAGATTATCCCGCCTAACACCTCCAAATCAAAACCAAATTTTATCAAAATCGGACAAAAATTACTCAAGTTATCGTCTTCACGGACATATATATATCTAAAAGGTCTAAAGAGAAATTGGGAAATTTTATGTTATACAGAATCTCCGGTTCCCGACCTGGATGATGGCTAGTTATTTAATTTAATTTACAGTTACATATACACATTAGTACCCGTGATTAATCAAACCCGTTATGTAAGCCAAAGCCACACGGTTATTAATCTCACTGGGTTTTGGATTTGCTTACAAACGTGATCGGAAATGGTTACAAACGTGATCGGAAATGGTTAGGGCCTACACAGTATTCGTATAAAACATTTATGTAAAGATATCAGTGACAGCTAGAAAAATGAATCTTTATCAAAACAGCTGTTCGTAATTTAATATATTTTCCTGGAGAAGATTGCGTAAAATGCCATCTTGAGTGTTACAGACAGATAGAAATAGAGATAAGACTCGTTTCTGCTTCTTTAATTTATAAAACGTAAAAATAACCTAAAAATATATAATTCTGAGCAATGAGCAGACAAAAATCTAATTTTATTTATATAGATGAATTTGAATATAACATGGGAATTTTGAATGAAATTTTTTTATAAATTTTCTCCGTAACCAATAACCGTACAAAAACACTTTGATATACTAAATTAATTGTTTTTTAAACTCTTTAAAAGGGTTTGGAGAAAAGTTTATCAATTTTGTGTTTTAAGGATGAAAGATGAAAAAAGCCCATTTTTAACCCATAAATCTGCCCGTTAAACCCTGTTCCTATGGTCCGATCATGCTGGTTATATCACAAACTCTGCTGGTTAAATATCGAACTCATTCAAGATTATCCCGCTTAACACCTCCAAATCAAAACCAAATTTTATCAAAATCGGACAAAAATTACTCAAGTTATCGTCTTCACGGACATATATATATCTAAAAGGTCTAAAGAGAAATTGGGAAATTTTGTGTTTTGAGGGTCAAAAATGAGGAAAAGTAGTTTACGCAACGATTGCGTTAAGTGAGTCTTTACGACACGAGTAGAAAATTTAAGGCACGAGCCTTGGCGAGTGTCTTAAAAACTTCTACGAGTGTCGTAAAGACTATTAACGCGAGTTGCGTACACTACTTTACCTACGACCGTTTTTTAATTACTATCAATCTGGATTTAATTACTAACAATCACTACTGATAACTTTTTAGAGAGGTTATGTTTTCGTGTATTGTCATTGCCACTGAAAGTGATGCAACGACTTGTTGTATAATCAGCTGATTTCCTGTAATTACGTGTTTGTTAAACTTCGTTAAATATTACATTGCTAAAGTTGAAGCTATAACTTTAGCTAAAGTTGAGCTAAAGAATGAAGGCAGCATTCTTACCATAAATAATACTGTATCAGGTACAATTCGGCAAATATTTCATTTATTTTTGGACTTCCACCAACTTAATTAAGAATACGCGAGTATCAACATGAACAAGTCGGATCAACAATTAAATTGGTCAACTGATCAGCTGATCAGCTGATTCATTGACGTTCGAAGCATTACAATTTTAATTCTTTTCTCTCAATACTTGAACCTCATTGGTCCGTTACCTGTGTGGATATGAGAAAAACTATGCTGATATGAAATGAAACTATGCTGATATGAAAGAAAACAGCTGTAAAGTGAAACTTTTCAATTCTAAGAACTGGACTGAAATGGCTACTTTAAAAAACGGTCGTAGGTAAATACATTTTTACTCCATAAAACCCCCTGTAAAACCCTGTTCCCATGGTCCGATCATGCTGGTTCGGGAACTCATTCAATTTTATCCTGCCTTACACCTTTAAGCCTAATTTCATCAAAATTGGACAAAAAAACTGAAGTTATCGCGTTCACAGATACATATATATATATACATACATATTACTAAGCAAATCAAAATACCACAGTACCCTAAAAACATTTTATTTTATATTACTTTCATGTTTCGGACATTAATGCCATGATCACAGTATAGTATATAACCTATTAGTTTCTTTTTCAAAAAAAAGAAAAAAAAAGAAAAAAAAAAAAAAAAGAAAAGAGAAAAAGAAAAAAGAAACATGTAAGTAATATAAAATAAAATGTTTTTAGGGTACTGTGGTATTTTGATTTGCTTAGTAACATTTAAAGTAGCCCTCATTGATGTATACAATAACAAAATACATACATATATATAACAATTTTAACGAATGGTGTTTTTTGGCCTCTGGGGACATCAAAATGAAAAAGTAAATCGATCACTACTTCCCTTTAGGGAAATTCGCTAAAAATACAACAACAAAAAAACAGTAAATTCAAATTAGGGTTTTGTAGGATTCTACATTCTAGAAAAAAAAAACCATAATGAAAATGACATAAACTACACTTATTGGTAAAACTAGATAAAGAAAAAGTAATTAGAAAAGAACTAGTGTACATGTTGCTCGAAATCAAGCAATTACAAAGTATTAGAGGAGTTAAAATACCCCCCCCCCCCCGCAGCAAACCTGCAGACTAAGCGAATTTCCAACTAGCCTGATAGGATTTCACATTAAAATGCCTCTTTAAAAATATCATATTTATTCCCTATTTAAATAGAATTAGTTTAACGAATACTTAGGTTTGCTGCAACAGGGAGGGTAAAAAGGTGGTTTTTTAAAATTTTAATAGTTTAGTAAGAAATGAATGTATTTTCCAAATTCGATCAAAATATGTTCATAAACAAATAAACTACAACAGTTGACTTATTCTCCATAAGAATAACATGGGGATTTAAAAATTACAATTTTTTTGGAATTTTCTCCGTAACCATTAGGCACACAATAACGCTTCAATATACTAAATTATTTGTTTTTTTAAGCTCTACAAAATGGTTTGGAAATAAGCTGTAAAATTTTGTGTTTTTAGGGTCAAAAATGGGAAAAACCTATTTTAACCCCATAAAACCCCCCATAAACCCCCGTTCCCATAGTCCGATCATGCTGGTTCGCGAACTCGTTCAAATAAATGTAGGTTTACACGTTTGTACCAAATTTCATCAAAATCGGATCATTTTTACTTGAGTTGTCGTGCTAA